TACCCCGGCCACCAGCTCTGCACCCTCCGCTGCAACTTGCCCATGCCCCCCCCGCTTCTCCTTCACACAAATTCAGACAGCTGATGTTGTGAAAGAGCTGCAAAATCTGAACCCCTACAAATCATCTGGGCTAGACAATCTGGACCCTTTCTTTCTAAAACTAGCCGCCGAAATTGTCACAATCTTTATTACTAGCCTGTTCAACCTCTCTTTCGTAACGTCTGAGATCCCCAGAGATTGGAAAGCTGCCGCGGTCATCCCCCTCTTCAAAGGGGGTGACACTCTAGATCCAAACTGTTACAGACCTATATCCATCCTGCCCTGCCTTTCGAAAGTTTTTGAAAGCCAAGTTAACAAACAGATCACCGACCATTTCGAATCCCACCGTACCTTGTCCGCTATGCAATCCGGTTTCCGAGCTGGTCATGGGTGCACTTCAGCCACGCTCAAGGTCCTAAACGATATTATAACCGCGATCGATAATAGACAGTACTGTGCAGCCGTCTTCATCGACCTGGCCAAGGCTTTCGACTCTGCCAACCACCGCATTCTTATTGGCAGACTAAATAGCCTTGGTTTCTCAAATGACTGCCTCGCCTGGTTCACCAACTACTTCTCAGATAGAGTTCAATGTGTCAAATCGGAGGGCCTGTTGTCTGGACCTATGGCAGTCTCTATGGGGGTGCCACAGGGTTCAATTCTTGGGCCGACTCTTTTCTCTGTATATATCAATGATGTCGCTCTTGCTGCTGGTGACTCTCAGATCCACCTCTACGCAGACGACACCATTTTGTATACATCTGGCCCTTCACTGGACACTGTGTTAACAAACCTCCAAACGAGCTTCAATGCCATACAACACTCCTTCAGTAGCCTCCAACTGCTCTTAAACACTAGTAAAACTAAATGCATGCTCTTCAATCGAACGCTGCTGGCACCCGCCCACCCGACTAGAATCACTACTCTCGACGGGTCTGACCTAGAGTATGTGGACAACTACAAATACCTAGGTGTCTGGTTAGACTGTAAACTCTCCTTCCAGACTCACATTAAGAATCTCCAATCCAAAGTTAAATCTAGAATTGGCTTCCTATTTCTCAACAAAGCCTCCTTCACTCATGCTGCCAAACATGCCCTCGTAAAACTGACTATCCTACCAATCCTTGACTTCGGCGATGTCATTTACAAAATAGCCTCCAACACTCTACTCAGCAAATTGGATGTAGTCTATCACAGTGCCATCCGTTTTGTCTCCAAAGCCCCATACACTACACACCACTGTGACATGTACGCTCTTGTTGGCTGGTCCTCACTACATATTCGTCGCCAAACCCACTGGCTCCAGGCCATCTATAAATCACTGCTAGGCAAATCCCTGCCTTATCTTAGCTCATTGGTCACCATAGCAACACCCACCCGTAGTATGCGCTCCAGCAGGTATATCTCACTGGTCATCCCCAAAGCCAACTCCTCCTTTGGCCGCCATTCCTTCCGGTTCTCTGCTGCCAATGACTGGAACGAATTGCAAAAATCTCTGAAGCTGGAGACTCTTATCTCCCTCACTAACTTTACGCATCAGTTGTCAGAGCACCTTACCGATCACTGCACCTGTACACAGCCCATCTGAAATTAGCCCACCCAACTACCTCATCCCTATATTGTTATTTATTTTGCTCATTTGCACCCCAGTATCTCTATTTGCACATCATCTCTTGCACATCTATCATTCCAGTGTTAATACTAATTGTAATTATTTTGCACTATAGCCTATTTATTGTCTTACCTCCATAACTTGCTACATTTGCACACACTGTATATATATTTTCTGTTGTATTTTTGACTTTATGTTTTGTTTTACCCCATATGTAACTCTGTGTTGTTGTTTTTATTGCACTGCTTTGCTTTATCTTGGCCAGGTCGCAGTTGTAAATGAGAACTTGTTCTCAACTGGCTTACCTGGTTAAATAAAGGTGAAAAAAATAAAAAATAAATAAACGTGTGGTAGCAGGCTAGTAACAGCGACTAAGTTCAGAGCAGGGTACTGGGCGGAGGCCGGCTAGTGGTGACTATTTAACAGTCTGATGGCCTGGAGATAGAAGCTGTTTTTCAGTCTCTCGGTCCCAGCTGTGACCTCAGCTGTGATTGTTTACAGTCCACAAACCAGCCAACAGCCGTAATTTGATGGTTTATAGTCCACATACCCAGCCGGACAGAACTGGTTTGTTACAGTCTGTCTACCATGTTTCTGAGGAGAGCAAACCCTGTAATCTGCATGATCCAAACAAAGTAGATTTGGTTGGGATAAAGTTGAAACACTTTCATAGCTATCTGTGGGTGTTTCTGTATAGATTGTTGTGATAAGTTCCTTTATCATGAAATATAATGGAATAAAGAGGTGATACCTAACTAATACTTTCTAAGGATCCATAATATTTGAACTATTTGTGAACTATCCCTTTAACCCGGCAGGTAGCTTAGTGGTTAAGAGCGTTGTGCCAGTAACCGAAAGGTCGCTGGTTCTAATCCCCGAGCCGACTAGGTGAAAAATCTGTCGATGTGCCCTTGAGCAAGGCACTTAACCCTAATTGCTCCTGTAAGTCGCTCTGGATAAGAGCGTCTACTAAATGACAAAAAACAAAAAAAACCTCTCTCTCGTGCTCACTCTCTCTCACTCTCTTCCTCTCTCACCCCTGTCCCTCTCTCTCTCTCTGCTGAAGCTTGTTTGAGGAGATCATGTCATACTTTCTGCCCAACTCCTTCAACCTGGGGTACAGCTTCTCACCAGGATCCTCGCCTCAAAACTCCCCAGGTGGGTCCTTCAACCTTTCTCTTCACTGACCAGCCAATCAGCTCTCATGCAGCGATGCTAATCAAGGGCCTTGTCCAATCGTCCAATACGCACAGATATCTCGCTCCATGGGAAACCTCCAATCCCTCTTAGCTAAATACCCAAAACCATGTCTGAATAAGCATCATTTGTTTAATTGAGGGTAACCACTCGGAGTGCACTAAGGACCTAAGCCAATCAGGATCCTAAGGACCGCATGAAATCATGTCATAACAAACACCACTTATGAATTAGCCCCATGAACACAATGGTAACAGCCAGTCATCTCTTGAAGAAGAGCTACTGCCAAGCCTAAGCGCCACTCAATACAAATCACAGTGAGGGATTTAAATTAGCCTTTACAAAGATAGCGTACTCATAATTGCACTGGCTATCTAATAGCAGTGAGATCGTACTGTGGGATCCTAGCGCCAGTTATGAATGAATAATCACACTGTGAAATAGAATCCAATATATCAGAGAAAGATAAGTAATCACGACTGTCTCCCTGACGACTGTCTCCCTTACGACTGTCTCCCTACGCTACGGGTGTTTGGCCCATGTGATCCTGGCTGCCAGTCCACTTAATGCAGGGCCCCAGTCATTACAACTGTTGTGGAGCGGAAAACAGTGCCAGTGTGCTGGAGTTTCTTACTACGTATAATATTAATTTCTCTCTATGCAGTACTACTACACCTTTAAATAAAGAAGGTGGACAGTTTTGTTACTTTATTGAACAGAGAGGTCGACTGCCCTCAGAGACGGACAGGAAAGTGAGGGGAGGACAGGAAAGTGAGGGGAGGACAGGAAAGTGAGGGGAGGACAGGAAAGTGAGGGGAGGACAGGAAAGTGAGGGGAGGACAGGAGAGTGAGGGGAGGTGTGTGTCAAAGTAGCTGTCATCTGAACATGAGCTCTCTTTCAGACTGAGGCCAGTGATAGGCTAGCAGACTGAGGCCAGTGATAGGCTATCAGCTAACATACTGAGGCCAGTGATAGGCTAGCAGCTAACATACTGAGGCCAGTGATAGGCTATCAGCTAACATACTGAGGCCAGTGATAGGCTATCAGCTAACATACTGAGGCCAGTGATAGGCTAACAGCGAACATACTGAGGCCAGTGATAGGCTAGTAGCTAACATACTGAGGCCAGTGATAGGCTATCAGCTAACATACTGAGGCCAGTGATAGGCTAACAGCGAACATACTGAGGCCAGTGATAGGCTAGCAGCTAACAGAGTGAGGCCAGTGATAGGCTAGCAGCTAACAGAGTGAGGACAGTGATAGGCTAGCAGCTAACAGAGTGAGGCCAGTGATAGGCTAACAGCGAACATACTGAGGCCAGTGATAGGCTAGCAGCTAACAGAGTGAGGACAGTGATAGGCTAGCAGCTAACAGAGTGAGGACAGTGATAGGCTAGCAGCTAACAGAGTGAGGACAGTGATAGGCTAGCAGCTAACAGAGTGAGGACAGTGATAGGCTAGCAGCTAACAGAGTGAGGACAGTGATAGGCTAGCAGCTAACAGAGTGAGGACAGTGATAGGCTAGCAGCTAACAGAGTGAGGACAGTGATAGGCTAGCAGCTAACAGAGTGAGGACAGTGATAGGCTAGCAGCTAACAGAGTGAGGACAGTGATAGGCTAGCAGCTAACAGATAGCATGCTCACACAATTGTCATCACTCCCTATGAAAGGCCCTGGTGTGCTACATTAAAGCATGACTACACAGTCTTAATGAGCAGATAGGGTCGTTAAACAGCCATGATAATGGGTTAATGGGAGGAAGGTAAACCTGCATTGGAAAGTGGCGCAGTGGTCTAAGACACTGCATCGCAGTGCTAGCTGTGCCACTAGAGATCCTGGTTCGAATCCAGGCTCTGTCGTAGCTGGCCGCGACCGGGAGACCCATGGGGCGGCGCACAATTGGCCCAGGGTAGGGGAGGGAATGGCCGGCAGGGATGTAGCTCAGTTGGTAGAGCATGGCGTTTGCAACGCCAGGGTTGTGTGTTCGATTCCCACGGGGGGCCAGTAAAAATAATAATGTATGCACTCACTAACTGTAAGTCACTCTGGATAAGAGCATCTGCTAAATGACTGAAATGTAAATGTAATGCTGCATCTTCCCTCGCTTTTGTTTCTCTGTCCAACTTGACCTCAAATTAAAACAAGAACTAGGATGATCATTGGCTCGGTTACACCAGTGGGGAACTGGTAACAACTGCCCATAACTGGCTGTGTTTTTCACTGGTCCTAGAGGCTGTGCAGTCTGAGCCCATGAATGATGTGTGTGAATGGTATTGCAGTTGTATTAGCTTAGATGTACTGTAAGTTGGAGCTATCACTCACACTGTGTGTGTGTGTGTGTGTGTGTGTTGGCGTTGGCAGGCTTACAGAGGGCTCCGTACCGCAGAGACTTTGAAGCTAAACTGCTTAACTTCTACAGGAAGCTGTAAGCCAAGGGCTTTGGCCAGGGAAGATGAGGTGTGTGTGTGTATGCTGATCCAACCCCTCCCATTGTGGAAATTATACATCAAGGACTGATTGGAGATGTTGCAAGATAGCAGAATGAACAGATAGAGAGACAGTAGTCTCTAAGGTGTAGACCTTACAGTGAAATGCTTACTTACAAGCCCTTAACCAACAATGCAGTTCTAAGAAAATAAGTGTTAAGTAAAAAATAGATAAGTAAAAATAAAAACATTAAAGAGCAGCAGTAAAATAACAGTAGCGAGGCTATATACAGGGGGTACCGGTACCGAGTCAATGTGCGGGGGCACAGGTTAGTTGAGGTAATTGAGGTCTGGGTAGCCATTTGATTAGCTGTTCAGCAGTTGGCTTGTGGGTAGAAGCTGTTAAGAAGCCTTTTGGACCTAGACTTGGTGCTCCGGTACCGCTTGCCGTGCGGAAGCAGAGAGAACAGTCTATGACTAGGGTGGCTGGAGTCTTTGACCATTTTTAGGGCTTTCCTCTGACACCACCTGGTATAGAGGTCCTGGATGGCAGGGAGCTCGGCCCCAGTGATGTACTGGGCCGTACGCACTACCCTCTGTAGTGCCTTGCGGTCGGAGGCCGAGCAGTTGCCATACCAGGCAGTGATGCAACCAGTCAGGATGCTCCCGCAAGGAGCTGCAGAGGAACAAGCTCTATGTCACGGAGAGGATGAGTAAGCGTGCGCATGTGTGTGTGTGGGGGGGCTTGATTTATCCTGTTGCCATGTACTTTTAAACTACATCCCCCATCTCCCCCGTCTCTAGGCTGGATTATAGCTTCCCCTCCAGGGAGAACTTCTTCCTGTTGTCCCAGGAACTGTTCAACCCTTACTATGGCCTGTTTGAGTACTCTGCCAACGACACGTACACCGTCCAGATCAGCCCCGTGTCTGCCTTCGTAGAGAACCATCTGGAATGGTGAGGACCAGGGTTGGGGAAAAAAGGAAACCCAATTCCAATTCCAATTCCAAATGTTCCTAATTGAAGAGAATTCCAATTTTAGTGTACTTACTGAATTGACTGGAATTGAAATGGAATAGACCCCAACCTGGTGAGGACTGATACCCTGGGATAGAATAACGGATGTTTTATATTTATTCTTGTAATTATTACTTTTTATCCTAAATGTAACCAGGGGAGTCTCATTGAGATATGAATGTCTTCTTCAAGGGAGCCTTGGCCAAGAGACTATTAATACATGAAAAAAAGAGAAGACTATTGAATACACAGCTGTAAAAATCACCTCAAGATAAAAACCTGTAAATTAGACTAAATATTAGCACTTCATATACTCGTGGGTAATAACATTCAATCTGGATAATAACACAAAACAAATCATAAGGCTAGAGAAATGTATCGACAAATATTACAACAACACGCAACACCCAAACATGAGGGAAGATAAACGAGGAGAATCAATCTCCAAGAGAAAACGCGACTCGTCGACTAATACAGATTATTTATGCTTTTCACCACTGGGACTGGTAAGTGTGGAAAGCGACCTGTTGAAGTCGATAAATGACAAACTGGGCATACTAGAGTTGGTCAGTAATGATGTAAAAGAGTTGAAGGCGAGTCTTGAAATGAGTGACGGAAAAGCTGCGATAATGGAGAAAGATACAAAAAAACTAAAAGAGACAGTCACTAAGATAGAAACGGACGTTGAGGAACTTAAAAGGAGAACAACTTTCTGAGGGAAGCTTTACTAGACATGGAAACTAGATCGATGAGAGAAAATCTAGTACTTACGGGTATCCAGGAAAAAGAGGGAGAGGTAACCGAGACTATTGTGAAGGACTTCTTTCTAAAAGCGCTTCAAATCCCACTCGAGGCTGTCGATAAAATCCAACTCGAACAAAGAGGACAGAGATATGAGCATCCAATCGTTGCCAAATTAGCTTTTTTAAGGATAAAGTAATGGTTAAACGCCTAGGTGAAAGACTTGCTGGCACCAAAATAGGAATGAATGATCAGTTCCCGAGGGAGATTGCAGAACGGCGCAAAGTTCTGTACCCAATCTTCAAGGAAAATAGATTAAAAGGGAAGCGTGTTGCTCTCGTTGTCAATAAACGGTATATTGACAACCAACTGTACCGCTACACAAAGATTACTCCATGGCTATTCTGAAAGTTCTAATAGAGGAGTCGAATAATGGAGCACCCAATACTAGCCATGGTAGGGATTGTAATAATAAAGAACATTTATAGTATGTATAGTATTTTATAAAAGGATAAAACGGTATTACAAGAAAAGATAACAAGCAAAATAATACATCTTCAAATACAACTAAATTAGAACACATATACTCAATCAACATAGTGGAGATAAAAACATAGCGAACAGAAGACATAGAAGGCTCAGTATGTGGGGATGTGTGGATGAATTGTGATGGAAGGTATGGTGAGCGTTTTTGTGTTTGAAAAAGTGTGGCGTTAAGTGAGTGAGAAAGGAAATGGTTGCATGTCCCAGAACCAACGTGTGTCTGTGAGCAGGGGATGTGAGAGAGAGCTTTCAGTTTTGTGCAGATGAGGAATATACATTTTAAAATATAGTATACATCTAATCTATTATTTTATTGTCCTATCATGATGGAACGATCCCCAACCCTATAACCTGGACACCCACCTGAGTGACCCATACACCAAAGAGAAGTCCTCATCTGTTTTATGGACCTGCTGTGAGTTGCCTATATACAGCCTAAACAGAAAAATAAATGCGGTCAGAGACCTACTTGAGCAGCACCGCCCCCTCAAGATTCTGAGCCTGCCTGGCAGGGTTGGTCCTACAAAGCCAGAGCCCCCTGATGGGAGAGCATAATATACAAGGAAATTCTCAAAGCTGCTAATGAGAACCTTGACGACCTTGTACCTAGCCGGTGGGGATTCCGGTGTGGGGTACCCCAACCCAGGTAGTGGCAGTGCTGGCAACACTGGCTGCAGTAACCCATGGGGAGGGGGTCACACTCGGACAATCAGAGAGGGGGAATATTATTGTGGCCCTGGTGGCACAAAATAATCAAAGGTCTGACTGCATGGAGATGCTTGGGGGAAATGGTTACAACGGGGTACCAGAGTGTTTGTGTCTCAGGTGAAGAGGGTGGATCTGATCTCCATCACCTAGGACTTGACATAGGTTAAATAGATTAATCAAATCTCACATTGTTGTCCATTTTTGCTCAATCTTGCATGCTTTCTCAAACAGCTGTAACTGTATATGCATTCGTAAATCAGTTCCATTCTTGAGTTGGGCTCTGTGATGTAATAACCGTTGAGCATCTGATCTTATGGTTGATTGTGGAGGAAAGGGGTTGAGTGTGTTAGAGTATGGGCGTGTGTGTTTATCCCACATCTGTTGCGAGGGGGTAAGGATGTTAGGGAGAATATAGGATGGACCACAATAATTGTTTGCTAAAATAATAATTGCTTGTCAAAAATGTAATGTAATACAATGGCAATCCGGGTTATAGGTTAAAATCCTACGCATGAACTGCCGACATTTTTACGCATATTAATCGATAATGATGGAAAATAAGATATGCAAGATATTTGAATGGATATATATTTTTAAGTAGCTATATATATATATATATATGGACAATTTGCATATTATATATATATTGAGGTGAGAGCATTGGAAATGCTTTTGGCGGTTGACCTGCTTCTGTTTTGTGGGTGGCACTGTGTGCTGTTTTCAATGGATGGGTCCTGGCCTCTCGGGGGGCCTAGGGATTCGGGGGGACGTGGGTGGTCACCCGGTTACTGGGATGACGGCCCAACTTGGGATAGGGAGGTGCTTTAGAGGGGGAATTAGTGGAGAACAATTGGAGGGTTACTTAGTAGCAATGCAAATATCATGGTACAGCTAAATGGGCAGTCAATCGCTATGGTATTTTTATTGGTAAATTTACAAACATATATAATGATAAATAGATTTGAAACTTGTATCCCATTATGGTATATGGTGAAATAGGTATAGCCAGTTATAATTGTAATGGCTTAGCAGATAATAACAAAAGAAGAACAATATTTACATGGCTCAAAGAGAAGGAATATAATATCTATTGTTTACAGGAAACCCATTCAACAATTCTAGAGGAAGATGTGTGGAAAAAGGACTGGGGGGGGCGAAATATACTTCTCCCATGGGCTAAGAAACTCAAAAGGGGTGATGATATTAATGAACAGTAATTTCGATCCGAATGTGCAAATTGTCCAAACAGATACGCAAGGTAGATGGATTATTTTAAATATGTTATTGGACCATAAACAAATATGGCTCATTAACCTTTACGGACCAAATAATGATGATCCACATTTCTTTGAAAATAAACATAATAAATTATCGACCTTGCAAGCAATTCAAGACTCTATAATTATGGTGGGAGATTATAATACAGTTTTAAATAGCTCAATGGACCGTAAAGGAAATCACACTACAAACAAACACCCTCATGCTCTTGAGGAAATTGTGAATGTCATGGATACATTAGAACTAGTAGATATATGGAGGCTTAAATATCCTGATCTAGTGAGATATACATGGCGGAGACTCAATCAAGCTAGTCGTCTTGACTTCTTTCTTATGTCATTCTCATTGGCACCAAAAGTTTAAAAAGTGTTGATAGGGGACAGAATGCGGTAGGACCATCATATACAGTGAGGGAAAAAAGTATTTGATCCCCTGCTGATTTTGTACGTTTGCCCACTGACAAAGAAATTATCAATCTATAATTTTAATGGTAGGTTTATTTGAACAGTGAGAGACAGAATAACAACAACAAAATCTAGAAAAACACATGTCAACAATGTTATAAATTGATTTGCATTTTAATGAGGGAAATAAGTATTTGACCCCTCTTCAAAACATGACTTAGTACTTGGTGGCAAAACCCTTGTTGGCAATAATAATAATATGCCATTTAGCAGACACTTTTATCCAAAGCGACTTACAGTCATGTGTGCATACATTTTTACGTATGGGTGGTCCCGGGGATCGAACCTACTACCCTGGCGTTACAAGCGCCATGCTCTACCAATTGAGCTACAGAGGTCAGACGTTTCTTGTAGTTGGCCACCAGGTTTGCACACATCTCAGGAGGGATTTTGTCCCACTCCTCTTTGCAGATCTTCTCCAAGTCATTAAGGTTTCGAGGCTGACGTTAGGCAACTCGAACCTTCAGCTCCCTCCACAGATTTTCTATGGGATTAAGGTCTGGAGACTGGCTAGGCCACTCCAGGATCTTAATGTGCTTCTTCTTGAGCCACTCCTTTGTTGCCTTGGCCGTGTGTTTAGGGTCGTTGTCATGCTGGAATACCCATCCACGACCCATTTTCAATGCCCTGGCTGAGGGAAGGAGGTTCTCACCCAAGATTTGACGGTACATGGCCCCTTCCATCGTCCCTTTGATGCTGTGAAGTTGTCCTGTCCCCTTAGCAGAAAAACACCCCCAAAGCGGTGGGGATGGTGTTCTTGGGGTCATAGGCAGCATTTCTCCTCCTCCAAACACGGCGAGTTGAGTTGATGCCAAAGAGCTCCATTTTGGTCTCATCTGACCACAACACTTTCACCCAGTTCTCCTCTGAATCATTCAGATGTTCATTGGCAAACTTCAGACGGGCATGTATATGTGCTTTCTTGAGCAGGGGGACCTTGCGGGCACTGCAGGATTTCAGTCCTTCACGGAGTAGTGTGTTACCAATTGTTTTCTTGGTGACTATGGTCCCAGCTACCTTGAGATCATTGACAAGATCCTCCCGTGTAGTTCTGGGCTGATTCCTCACCGTTCTCATGATCATTGCAACTCCACGAGGTGAGATCTTGCATGGAGCCCCAGGCCGAGGGAGATTGACAGTTCTTTTGTGTTTCTTCCATTTGCGAATAATCGCACCAACTGTTGTCACCTTCTCACCAAGCTGCTTGGCGATGGTCTTGTAGCCCATTCCAGCCTTGTTTAGGTCTACAATCTTGTCCCTGACATCCTTGGAGAGCTCTTTGGTCTTGGACATGGTGGAGAGTTTGGAATCTGATTGATTGATTGCTTCTGTGGACAGGTGTCTTTTATACAGGTAACAAGCCGAGATTAGAGCACTCTAGTGTGCTCCTAATCTCAGCTCGTTACCTTTATAAAAGACACCTGGGAGCCAGAAATCTTTCTGATTGAGAGGGGGTCAAATACTTATTTCCCTCATTAAAATGGATTTTTTTTGTTGTTATTCTGTCTCTCACTGTTCAAATAAAACTACCATTAAAATTATAGACTGATCATTTCTTTGTCAGTGGGCAAACGTACAAAATCAGCAGGGGATCAAATACTTTTTTCACTCACTGTAATTGGTATATACATTATAATAATAATAATAATATGCCATTTAGCAGACGCATTTATCCAAAGCGACTTACAGTCATGCGTGCATACATTTTTGTGTACACATTACTCTTACTGAATTTCCAAGTGGGCGAGGATATTGGAAATTTAATCAAAGCCTATTGGATGATAACTTGTTTTTAACTAGGACAGAGGAATTTCTAACAGATTTTTTCCGATATAACATACAGTGGGGGAAAAAAGTATTTAGTCAGCCACCGATTGTGCAAGTTCTCCCACTTAAAAAGATGAGAGAGGCCTGTAATTTTCATCATAGGTACACGTCAACTATGACAGACAAAATGAGAAAGGAAAATCCAGAGAATCACATTGTAGGATTTTTTATGAATTTATTTGCAAATTATGGTGGAAAATAAGTATTTGGTCAATAACAAAAGTTTCTCAATACTTTGTTATATACCCTTTGTTGGCAATGACACAGGTCAAACATTTTCTGTAAGTCTTCACAAGGTTTTCACACACTGTTGCTGGTATTTTCGCCCATTCCTCCATGCAGATCTCCTCTAGAGCAGTGATGTTTTGGGGCTGTCGCTGGGCAACACGGACTTTCAACTCCCTCCAAAGATTTTCTATGGGGTTGAGATCTGGAGACTGGCTAGGCCACTCCAGGACCTTGAAATGCTTCTTACGAAGCCACTCCTTCGTTGCCCGGGCGGTGTGTTTGGGATCATTGTCATGCTGAAAGACCCAGCCATGTTTCATCTTCAATGCCCTTGCTGATGGAAGGAGGTTTTCACTCAAAATCTCACGATACATGGCCCCATTCATTCTTTCCTTTACACGGATCAGTCGTCCTGGTCCCTTTGCAGAAAAACAGCCCCAAAGCATGATGTTTCCACCCCCATGCTTCACAGTAGGTATGGTGTTCTTTGGATGCAACTCAGCATTCTTTGTCCTCCAAACACGAGGAGTTGAGTTTTTACCAAAAAGTTCTATTTTGGTTTCATCTGACCATATGACATTCTCCCAATCCTCTTCTGGATCATCCAAATGCACTCTAGCAAACTTCAGACGGGCCTGGACATGTACTGGCTTAAGCAGGGGGACACATCTGGCACTGCAGGATTTGAGTCCCTGGCGGCGTAGTGTGTTACTGATGGTAGGCTTTGTTACTTTGGTCCCAGCTCTCTGCAGGTCATTCACTAGGTCCCCCCGTGTGGTTCTGGGATTTTTGCTCACCGTTCTTGTGATCATTTTGACCCCACGGGGTGAGATCTTGCGTGGAGCCCCAGATCGAGGGAGATTATCAGTGGTCTTGTATGTCTTCCATTTCCTAATAATTGCTCCCACAGTTGATTTCTTCAAACCAAGCTGCTTACCTATTGCAGATTCAGTCTTCCCAGCCTGGTGCAGGTCTACAATTTTGTTTCTGGTGTCCTTTGACAGCTCTTTGGTCATGGCCATAGTGGAGTTTGGAGTGTGACTGTTTGAGGTTGTGGACAGGTGTCTTTTATACTGATAACAAGTTCAAACAGGTGCCATTAATACAGGTAACGAGTGGAGGACAGAGGAGCCTCTTAAAGAAGAAGTTACAGGTCTGTGAGAGCCAGAAATCTTGCTTGTTTGTAGGTGACCAAATACTTATTTTCCACCATAATTTGCAAATAAATTCATTAAAAATCCTACAATGTGATTTTCTGGATTTTTTTCCTCAATTTGTCTGTCATAGTTGATGTGTACCTATGATGAAAATTACAGGTCTCTCTCATCTTTTTAAGTGGGAGAACTTGCACAATTGGTGGATGACTAAATACTTTTTTTGCCCACTAGGTTATAGGTTGAGAGCTTTTGTGAAAGAGCACAGTTAGAAAGATATGGCATATAGAAACAAACCAGATGGACATCATGAAAATGATCGGAGGAAGCTCAGGAGTAAAAACAAACAAACAAAATATAATTATTGTAGAATTTGACTGTGTCCATAAAATGTATATAGTATGTATGGGCTGGAAGTAGAGGCCTAAGCGTTGTTGTTCACTAGTTTACTCCAATTGGGGAAGGGGTGGTGGGGTTGGAAAGTAATGAAGGGAAATATAATTTTAAAATAGGATATGTGTGTGTGTATGGATGTATGTATATATGTATGTATTTATATGTGTGTGTGTGTGTGTGTGTGTATGTGTGTGTATATATATATATATTTGCGAGAAAAAAATATATATGGGGGATTGGAAGTGATGCAGACAATTACATTGATGGAAGTTACAATATATCTGAAATATTAAAGCTGATCTACCCCATAGAAAGTAAAACAAACAAAAAAATGACAAAAATGAAAAAAAGATGAAATGAAACCAGATATTTTACAGTTGGCCTCTGTGTATCTTCAACCACTTAGGACAAAATATTTTAACCATGCAGCTGGTGTAGGCCATAAAATTGTATAGGGTTATTATCTCTTTATCTCTCATTAGCATTTTATTTTGGGACTAGGGGAGTCATGTAAAACTGAGCATTGTTTAACGTCAATATTTAACCTTCCCCCTTGACACAAGACGTAATAAAACTAAACATGGTGTGCTGTATTCACCGTCTGTGTCAACCTTGACGCAGTGGGGAATAGCTAGTCCCCTGTTTTACTGCTTATGGAAATGCCGCCTTGTTAGCTCAGTTCATTTGTCACCGGTATTGAGAGCCTAGAGCAATGACAAATCTTCTCAGACATGACATGGTTGCCATAGCATCCCTATTAGCCTGTATTTGTATTTATTATGGATCCCCACTCTTCCTGGGGTTCGGCAAAATTAAGGCAGTTGTACAATTTTAATAACATTACAATACATTCATTACAGAATTCACAACACACTAAGTGTGTGCTCTCAGGCCCATATGCCACTACCACATACAACACAAAATCCATGTGTACGTGTGTGTATAGTGCGTATGTTATCATGTGTGTGTATGCATGTGTCTGTGCCTATGTTTGTGTTGCTTCACAGTCCCCGCTGTTCCATAAGGGGTATTTTTATCTGTTTTTTAAATCTGATTCTACTGCTTGCATCAGTTACCTGTAGTGGAATAGTGTTCAATGTAGTCATGGCTCTATGCAGTACTGTGCGCCTCCCATAGTCTGCTCCGGACTTGGGGACTGTGAAGAGACCTCTGGTGGCATGTCTTGTGGGGTATGCATGGGTGTCTGAGCTGTGTGCTCGTTGTTTAAACAGACAGCTCGGTGCTTTCAAAATGTCAGTACCTCTCACAAATACAAGTAGTGATGAAGTCAATCTCTCCTCTACTTTGAGCCAGCAGAGATTGACATGCATATTATTAATGTTTATTATTAATTTAATCTCTGTGTACATCCAAGGGCCAGCCGTGCTGCTCTGTCCCTCTTTGTGGCACCTGACCACACGACTGAACAGTAGTCCAGGTGCGACAAAACTAGAGACTGTAGGACCTACCTTGTTGATAGTGCTGATAAGACGGTAGAGCAGCGCTTTATTATGGACAGACTTCTCCCCATCCTATCTACTGTTGTATCAATATGTTTTGACCATGACAGTTTACAATCCAGGGTTATTCCAAGCAGTTTAGTCACCTCAACTTTCTCACTTTCCACATTATCTATTACAAGATTTAGTTGAGGTTTAGGGTTTAGTGAATGATTTGTCCCAAATACAATGCTTTTAATTTTTGAAATATTTAGGACTAACTTATTGCTTACCACCCATTCTGAAACTAACTGGAGCTCTTTGTTAAGTGTTGCAGTCATTTCAGTCGCTGTAGTTTCTGACGTATATAGTGTTGAGTCATCCGCATACATAGACACACTGGCTTTACTCAAAGCCAGTGGCATGTCGTTAGCAAATATTGAAAAAATTAAGGGGCCTAGACAGCTGCCCTGGGGAATTCCTGATTCTACCTGGATTATGTTGGAGAGGCTTCTGTTAAAGAACAACCTCTGTGTTCTGTTAGACAGGTAACTCTTTATCCACAATATAGCAGGGGGTGTAAAGCCATAACACATAGGTTTTTCCAGCAGCAGACTATGATCGATAATGTCAAAAGCCGCACTGAAATCTAACAAAACAGCCCCCACAATATTTTTATCATCAGCCAATCATCAATCATTTGTGTAAGTGCTGTGCTTGTTGAATGTCCTTCCCTATAAGCATGCTGAAAGTCTGTTGTCAATTTGTTTACTATAAAATAGCATTGTATCTAGTCAAACATCATTTTTTCAAAACTTTACTAAGGGTTAGTAACAGGCTGATTGGTCGGCTATTTGAGCCATTAAAGGGGTCTTTACTATTCTTAGGTAGTGGATTTACTTTTGCTTCCCTCCAGGCCTGAGGGCACACACATTCTAGTAGGCCTAAATTGAAGATATGGCAAATAGGAGTGGCAATATAGTCCGCTATTATCCTCAGTAATTTTCCATCCAGACCCTGGTGGCTTGTCATTGTTGATAAACAACAATCATTTTTTCTCCTCTTCCACACTCACTTTGCGGAATTCAGGGGTCAGTGTCAGTAAGGTAGGTCACCAGGCACCAGGGCTTTGACTGCGTCCTCTTAGCCTGACCAGTCACTTTGTAGTATGTTGTAACTCGGTAGAGTGGAGTACTGTATTATTAAAGCTTTATATTTTTCTGCAGAGGACACAATGAAAAATGCTTTTAATATGCATGTATATAAGTATTTTTGTTGGACACACATAGTAGAATGTGGATCTTTTGGCCCCAAAATGGTTCCCACGCTACACACCATTCACACGTACAGTTCTCTGCAATCATTTTCCGGCACGTAAGCCTATTCGTGTGTTTGTCCCGTCAATAAATCTATCAGATTGATGCAGCAACAGACTGCTCCTTTTTCGTTATTGTCCCCAATAGTCACCAGTTGAAGTATCCAGGGGTAAGGAACGTTTTGGGATTTTCACGTCCCTCAGTCGAGTACCTGATCCCCCCCTTTTTCGTTTAAGCTCGGCTGAAGCGCGTTTGGGTGTACCTTTTTTCCATTTATCGTTTCCTGTGTGTCATTTCCTGTGTCAGATGACGGAGTGGGAGCTGAAGTCGGGCGGCTCCAACCTGCAGGTGACTGAGAAGAATAAGAAGGATTACATAGAGCGCATTGGAAGGTGGAGTGGAGGTGGTGCAGCACACTGAGGCCCTGGTCCGAGGCTTCTATGAGGTAATAGCCCTTGACTCTTACTTCTACCTCAGTGTTTGCAGATCTGAAGGAATAGGATAGGTACACTATATATACAAAGGTATGTGGACACCCCTTCAAATGAGTGGATTCGGCTATTTCAGCCACACCCGTTGTGTATAAAATCGAGCACACAGCCATGCAATCTCCATAGACAAACATTGTCAGTAGAATGACCTTACTGAAGAGCTCAGTGACTTTCAACGTGGCACCGTCATAGGATGCCACCTTTCCAACAAGTCAGTTGGTCAACTTTCTGCCCTGCAAGAGCTGCTCCGGTCAACTGTAAGTGATGTTATTGTGAAGTGGAAAGGTCTAGGAGCAACAACGGCTCAGCCGCGAAGTGGTAGGCCACACAAGCTCACAAAACGGGACCGAAGAGTGCTGAAGCGCATTGTGCGTAAAAATCGTCTGTCCTCGGTTGCAAAATTCACTACCGAGTTCCAAACTGTCTCTGGAAACAACGTCAGCACAAGAACTGTTCGTCGGGAGCTTCATGAAATGGGTTTCCATGGCCGAGCAGCCGCACACAAGCCTAAGATCACCATACGCAATGCCAAGCGTCGACTGGAGCAGTGTATAGCTCGCCGATGTTCGACGAGCAGGTGTCCACATACTTTTGGTCATGTAGTGTACAGTAATCCCTCGTTTATCGCGGGGGTTACGTTCCGAAAATGACCCGCGATAAGTGAAATCCGCGAAATAGAAAACTTTTTTTTTTTACAATTAGCAACTATTACATGTATACAAATACAGTGACTCACGTGTAGGCCGTTTCACTGCTCTTCAGACTGGGCCGCTGCATCCTGACTGCGCTCTGCAGTGTTCTCTTCTTCTGAAGCCCGCGGTGCAGGTGTGTTTGTTCGGGAGAAGAACATAGTGATAGGCAGCTGTTGTCGCTCTTTTTTCTTCTTTGCAAAAAGATCCTTGTACACCGACATGCCACCATCGATTACGTTTGAGAACTGTAATGAACGGCTCATCAAAGGGTCCCATTCCTCAGCTACTCGCTTAAGTTCAGTGGCCATTCGCACCATGGTTGCTAAGCGACCAAGCGTTAGTCCTTCCTCCTCATCTCTCGTGTCCTCTTCTCCCTCTTCTCTTTCATCGTCGCTTTGTGGCTTTGTCATTTCTGCCAGCTCTGCATCGGTCAGCGGCTGTGCGTCTCCATCAATCAGGGCGTTTATGTCATCCGGACTCATGTCATTAAAGCCGTCTCCTCCAATCTGTTTAGCCAGATTCACAGCTGTTTCTACGGCAGAGTGGTGGACCTCGTCAAGCGAGCCTCCGGTTGCGTTTTGCACTGCCTCTGGCCACAGAGCTAATGCCGTCTCCATCCGTACCATGGTCTTGTTGCGGACAGTTACAACCCTTTTTGCATTCGTATAAAAATTGACTGCTGCTGTCGTCCTTATGTTTTTTTCCTCCTTCTTTATGTAACGAACGGAAGATTCATTGATTCCGTAATGGCGAGCAACGGCTGCATAGCTTTTACCTTCCCTTAGCATGTCCAGAAGTTTAACTTTATCTGAGATAGGTAGCATCTTCCGCCGTTTGGGCCCATCCGCAGGTGCTTTTGTCGGTCCAGGCCGTTTCGTCGACATTATGGGTTTAGGAGATGTTCGAAATTACAAGATAATTTGGCCAACTTAATGTAAATTTGCCAAGCTGTTTTATGTACGTTCACATAACTGCACGAGACGACAAAATGATAGCACAATTCGTAGCATGTTTTGATACAAGAAGCGGGAGTGAGTTTTTAGCGAATCAGAATGCAGAGCACAATGCACCAAAAAAAAAAAAATGCATTATGAAAATCCGCGAAATAGCGAATCCGCGATAAGTGAACCGCGAAGTGGCGAGGGATCACTGTATAAGCAATGTGGCAGATCCTCCCCATTACCATGTTGCTTACACCTATCCAGTCTCTTCAGATTTGTCAATGCCAAATGTAGAGTCTCGAGAGGAGGTGTCAGAGACATTATTCCATTTCACCATTGCCAGGTGAATTTCATTAGTTTGTGGAACAACAGGCAATCATCCATTGGCTTCACTAACCCCCACTCCAACCCTCCTCTTCCCACAGGTGGTAGACTTTCGCTTGGTGTCAGTGTTTGATGCCAGAGAGCTGGAGCTGGTCATCGCAGGGACGGCTGAGATCGACCTCAACGACTGGAGGACCAACACAGAGTACAGAGGAGGTGAGACAGTTAAGATCTTTCTGTTCTGGGATAGCCATCTTGTGAAGTGTCCTAGGGAAATATGTTTATTTCTAAAGTATAAAAAGTACAATAGGCCTTATGTTCAAACTGAAACTGACAGTGCTGCAGACAAACAGAGGAGGGAAGAAAGCACAATATGGACCAGGTAATGGACCAGTTAATGGACCAGGTAATGGACCAGTTAATGGACCAGGTAATGGACCAGTTAATGGACCAGGTAATGGACCAGGTAATGGACCAGGTAATGGACCAGGTAATGGACCAGGTAATGGACCAGGTAATGGACCAGTTAATGGACCAGGTAATGGACCAGGTAATGGACCAGGTAATGGACCAGTTAATGGACCAGGTAATGGACCAGGTAATGGACCAGGTAATGGACCAGTTAATGGACCAGGTAATGGACCAGGTAATGGACCAGGTAATGGACCAGGTAATGGTCGAAACGCTGTCAGTGTTGGTCATGCTCTGTTTAATGCTCTGTTTAATGCTCTGTTTAATGTATCACTTTCTGAAAGCATAAATCAATCAGTGTCCTTTCTGCATAACAAAGTACTACAGTCCATATGTTCCAACTGACAGGACGGCTACAGTACAGTAACAACAGAGCAGTCAACGGCAAGTAGAACACGCCACAACATCCATCTCACGGCCTCGTTAGCGCACATGCCCCATGTCACCTGACCTAAGACTAAGAGAGAGTGTCTGTGACTGACTACGGCTACGTCTTGACTGTGACTGACTACGGCTACCTCTTGACTCTGACTAACTATGGCTATGTCATGACTGTGACTAACTACGTTGTGACTGTGACTGACTACGGCTAAGTCTTGACTGTTACTGACTATGGCTATGTCGTGACTGTGATTGACTATGGCTACGTCTTGACTGTGACTGACTACGGGGTGACTGACTACGGCTATGTCTTGACTGTGACTGACTACGGCTATGTCGTGACTGTGACGGACTACGTCGTGGCTGTGACTGACTACGGCTACATCTTGACTGTGACTGACTACGGCTACGTTGTGACTGTGACTGACTACGGCTATGTCATGACTGTGACTGACTGCGGCTACGTCGTGACTGTGACTGACCACGGCTAAGACTTGACTGTGACTGACTACGGGGTGACTGACTACAGCTATGTCTTGACTGTGACTGACTACGGATATGTCGTGACTGTGACTGACTATGGCTACGTCTTGACTGTGACTGACTACGGGGTGACTGACTACGGTTATGTCTTGACTGTGACTGACTACGGATATGTCGTGACTGTGACGGACTACGTCATGGCTGTGACTGACTACGGCTACGTCTTGACTGTGATGACTACGGCTACCTCTTGACTGTGACTAACTACGGCTATGTCATGACTGTGACTAACTACGTTGTGACTGTGACAGACTACGGCTACCTCTTGACTGTGACTGACTACGGCTACCTCTTGACTGTGGCTAACTACGGCTATGTCATGTATGTGACTAACTACGTCTTGACTGTGACTGACTACGGCTAAGTCTTGACTGTGACTGACTATGGCTATGTCGTGACTGTGAGTGACTACGGCTACGTCTTAACTGTGACTGACTACGGGGTGACTGACTACGGCTATGTCTTGAATGTGACTGACTATGGCTATGTTGTGGCTGTGACTGACTACGGCTACGTCTTGACTGTGACTGACTACGGCTACGTCGTGACTGTGACTGACTACGGCTACTTCTTGACTGTGACTAACTACGGCTATGTCATGACTGTGACTAACTACGTTGTTACTGTGACTGACTATGGCTACATCTTGACTGTGACTGACTACGGCTACCTCTTAACTGTGACTAACTACGGCTATGTCATGACTGTGACTAACTATGTCTTGACTGTGACTGACTACAGGGTTACTGACTACGGCTATGTCTTGACTGTGACTGACTATGGCTATGTCGTGACTGTGACGGACTAAGTCGTGGCTGTGACTGACTACGGCTACGTCTTGACTGTGACTGACTACGGCTACGTTGTGACTTTGACTGACTACAGCTATGTCTTGACTGTGACTGACTATGGCTATGTCGTGACTGTGACGGACTATGTCGTGGCTGTGACTGACTACGGCTACGTCTTGACTGTGACTGACTACGGCTACGTTGTGACTGTGACTGACTACGGCTATGTCATGACTGTGACTGACTACGTCGTGGCAGTGACTGACTACGGCTACGTCTTGACTGTGTCTGACTATGGCTATGTCGTGACTGTGACTGACTACGGCTACCTCTTGACTGTGACTAACTACGGCTATGTCATGACTGTGACTAACTACGTCGTAACTGTGACTGACTACGGCTACATCTTGACTGTGACTGACTACGGCTACCTCTTGACTGTGACTAACTACGGCTATGTCATGACTGTGACTAACTATGTCTTGTCTGTGACTGACTACGGGGTGACTGGCTACGGCTATGTCTTGACTGTGACTGACTATGGCTATGTCGTGACTGTGACGGACTACGTTGTGGCTGTGACTGACTACAGCTACGTCGTGACTGTGACTGACTACGGCTACGTCTTGACTGTGACTGACTACGGGGTGACTGGCTACGGCTATGTCTTGACTGTGACTGACTATGGCTATGTCGTGACTGTGACGGACTACGTCGTGGCTGTGACTGACTATGGCTATGTCTTGACTGTGACTGACTACGGCTACGTTGTGACTGTGACTGACTATGGCTACCTCTTGACTGTGACTAACTACGGCTATGTCATGACTGTGACTAACTATGTCTTGTCTGTGACTGACTACGGGGTGACTGGCTACGGCTATGTCTTGACTGTGACTGACTATGGCTATGTCGTGACTGTGACGGACTACGTTGTGGCTGTGACTGACTACAGCTACGTCGTGACTGTGACTGACTACGGCTACGTCTTGACTGTGACTGACTACGGGGTGACTGGCTACGGCTATGTCTTGACTGTGACTGACTATGGCTATGTCGTGACTGTGACGGACTACGTCGTGGCTGTGACTGACTATGGCTATGTCTTGACTGTGACTGACTACGGCTACGTTGTGACTGTGACTGACTATGGCTACCTCTTGACTGTGACTAACTACGGCTATGTCATGACTGTGACTAACTACGTCGTGACTGTGACTGACTACGGCTACATCTTGACTGTGACTGAGTACGGCTACCTCTTGACTATGACTAACTACGGTTATGTCTTGACTGTGACTGACTACGGCTAAGTCTTGACTGTGACTGACTACGGCTAAGTCTTGACTGTGACTGACTATGGCTATGTCGTGACTGTGACTGACTACGGCTACGTCTTGACTGTGACTGACTACGGAGTGACTGACTATGGCTACGTCTTGACTGTGACTGACTACGGCTACGTCGTGACTGTGACTGACTACGGCTACGTCATGACTGTGACTGACTACGGCTACATCGTGACTGTGACTGACTACGGCTGCGTCGTGACTGTGACTGACTACGGCTATGTCATGACTGTTATATTATTATGACTGTGACTGACTACGGCTATGTTATGACTGTGACTGACTACGGCTACGTTGTGACTGTGACTGACTACGGCTATATCATGACTGTGACTGACTACGGTTATGTCATGACTGTGACTGACTACGGCTATGTCTTGACTCTGACTGACTACGGCTATGTCATGACTGTGCCTGACTACGGCTATGTCATGACTGTGACTGACTACGGCTACGCCGTGACTGTGACTGACTACGGCTACGTCGTGACTGTGACTGATTACGGGTACGTCGTGAGCGCCGTTGCAATTTCTCTCAGCCTCCTTTGAACAGACAGATGTGGCGGAGGGGCCAGCGAAGCCTGAAATTCCAATAAATGTCAGTAAATCATGAATCAACCAGAAGGGCGTGCTCCAGCTGCCAGGCCGCTCATCTGGTTCTAATTACAGCTCTTAATTGGCCAAACTCATCATCTGCTCAATTGGAACCGTTTGACCCCGTCGTTTAGCCAAGACCTCAGTCTGCTCTGGCTGGATGGATTGGATCACGAGCAGGAAAGAGCCTGCAACCGCCTCCTTTTCACCACAGCCTCCAAAGCAAACAGTGCCCTGTTTAGATTGCAGTTTTTCAAAGTGGAAGCTTTCAAAATGGAGAGAAAGTGGTGAACATTACATTTGCCCTCAGAATGGGAGCTAGCTTTTCAGTCTTGCCGTATTATTAATAATGACAATGTACTGTAACACATTTCTCAAACTCTAAGGCTGTGTTTACAGGCAGCCCAGTTCTGATCTTTTGGATAATTATTGGTCTTTTCTCCAATCAAATCAGATCATTTGCCAATAATTGGGCAACATATCACAATTGGTCTGCTTGTGTAAACACAGCCTAAGTAAGGGGTTAACTCAATCCCTTCCACCAGCATTGTGTAGCATTCACCTGTATGTACGGTTGATGCAGAGCAGTGAGGATAACCAGGATTTGGTACCAGTCACACCTACACAGACTTCACCAATGACCCCAAATGAACCCTAATGAACCCCATGCCCCTCCCCTCTTCACTCCTCTGCAGGTTACCATGACGACCGCATTGTGATGCGGTGGTTCTGGAGTGCGGTGGAGCGCATCAACAACGAGCAGATGCTGTGGCTGCTGCAGTTTGGGACAGGCACCTCCAGCGTACCCGACGAGGGCTTCGCTGCCCTATGAGGAAGCAACGGCCTGCGGCGCTTCTGCATCGAGAAGTGGGGCAAGGTCACATTATAGAAAATTATATAGTTTGGCTATAGAATGCACAAGTCATATAAGAATCATATCTGTCCTGGACAAGTTTGATTCTTATAATCAGCTGATTCTTAGTACAAGCAAAGTACATTGTAAATAGTATAAGCAGTTGAGTCTTACTATGATTCTTATAAGCATCAGTCGCTCTCACCCTTTTTACCTGACCCCCCTTACCCTTACCTCCCTTACCTGACCTCCCTTACCCTTACCTGACCTCCCTTACCCCTACCTGACCTCCCTTTACCCTTACCTGACCCCCCTTACCCTTACCTCCTTACCTGACCTCCTTACCCTTACCTGACCTCCCTTACCCTTACCTGACCCCCCTTACCCTTACCTCCCTTACCTGACCTCCCTTACCCTTACCTGACCCCCCTTACCCTTACCTCCCTTACCTGACCTCCCTTACCCTTACCTGACCCCCCTTACCCTTACCTCCTTACCTGGACCTCCCTTACCCTTACCTGACCCCCCTACCCTTACCTCCCTTAACCTGACCTCCCTTACCCTACCTGACCTCCCTTACCCTTACCTGACCCCCCCTTACCCTTACCTCCCTTACCTGACCCTCCCTTACCCTTACCTCCCTTACCTGACCTCCCTTACCCTTACCTGACCCCCCTTACCCTTACCTCCCTTACCTGACCTCCCTTACCCTTACCTCCCTTACCCGACCTCCCTTACCCTTACCTGACCTCCCTTACCCTTACCTCCCTTACCTGACCCCCCTTACCCTTACCTCCCTTACCTGACCTCCCTTACCCCTACCTGACCTCCCTTACCCCTACCTGACCTCCCTTACCCTTACCTGACCCCCCTTACCCTTACCTCCCTTACCTGACCTCCCTTACCCTTACCTGACCTCCCTTACCCTTACCTGACCCCCCCTACCCTTACCTCCCTTACCTGACCTCCCTTACCCCTACCTGACCTCCCTTACCCCTACCTGACCTCCCTTACCCTTACCTGACCCCCCTTACCCTTACCTCCCTTACCTGACCTCCCTTACCCTTACCTCCCTTACCTGACCTCCCTTACCCTTACCTGACCTCCCTTACCCTTACCTGACCCCCTTACCCTTACCTCCCTTACCTGACCTCCCTTACCCTACCTGACCTCCCTTACCCCTACCTGACCTCCCTTACCCCTACCTGACCTCCCTTACCCTTACCTGACCTCCCTTACCTGAGGCCCTCTCATTCAAAAGCACATGCTATTTGTTATCAAAGTCTGCAGAGTGAATGCAGTCTATTCATATTGCTGAACAGACTGCTTGCCCTCAATCCATGTGGGACAGCTCTTGTCTCTCTCTCTCTTTCTGCACTCCATTTAGTGGGACACATGTACTATAGAGATCTATATATCTCTATCTACTATATCTAGATGATATCTATCATATAATCAGATATAGCTATATATCTATTATATATATCGATCTATTATCTTATGCATCTTCTCTAGATATTTCTGTCGGTCCTGTTATTCGTCTGTCTATGTCTCTGTTCGGTATCTATCTCGCTTATATCATCTCTCTCTCTCTCTAGATATCATCTCTCTCCTATATCTCATATCTATCTATCTCTATATCTCATTCGCTATTACTCTCATTCTCTCTCTCTCTCTCTCTCTCTCTCTCTCTCTCTGTCTCTCCTCTCGGACAGCTGAATGATGTGGTGCTCAAGGCTTGTAATGCAACATGACCCTATGAATGAAACGGCCAAGGGTGTGTTTGCTCAACCCTTACATTATAGTTCGACCTCGTAATCTGCTTAGAGTAGTGCCAGACAACTTTACAGAGAGTTTTCTCAGGAGTAAAAAGACTAACACCTTCTGCTAATCTAAGACATGGTGAAAACCATTTGGTTTAGACAATATTTTAGATTGTGAAACAATGAAAGTGAAAGCACATGATGTAGTTTGTTGTGTCAACAGCAACTACTTAATTATACATGGTGTGGCTGAGGTTAAGAAAAGTCTCTTCCACTAGCGTATCAACTACTAGCGTGAGGTTGCTGGTTTTCTTTTCCCGCGTGAAAACAGTTGTTGTTGGAGAAGTGTCTGGGTCATGTTCCGTAGGTACCAAATAGAGTGAAACAGGGAGGTAGCCTACTATCTGATAAGAAGTGTTTGTTGATGTTTTCCATTGCAAAATATTTTGCTACGTTTACCCTATAATGAACACGACCCAGACCACACAGTATCTAAAATACCTCTACGACACCAGCCAGGCGAGCTGCATGGTTATTATGGTCACTCATAACACATTTATATTTTAGCAGACGCGACTTACAGTAGTGAGTTATTTTATTTTAGTTTTAGTGTCATCCGTTTCATCTTCCCCATGAGACCACTACACCTCCAAGCACTGAGGCTGACGGAGGGAGGGGCTTGCTCCACCGGCCACCCACAGCCCGCACGCCACCTCTGACATCACAGGAAGTGACACAACAGCGTCTCTTACATTGATACAGTATTCATTTTATGTGTACAATTTAATTAAAAATGTTTTGTGCATGTTTCACCAATTTGCTTTCTAATCATATGGGCATCACTGTTTTACTCAGAGTGGATGAGCAGGTGCTGAGTAATTCAGTGACTCCTATAGTATAAGGTCCCCTTAGCTGCGTTTGTTCTGAGTCTGTGCCCAGCCTATGTGTCCTTCATCTCCCACCCAGGGAAGATACCGTGTCTCAGTGAGATATTGCCTCAATGACACCAGCTATGTGTTAATTCATCTCACCTCCTATGGGAGGCTCCAATGCAGTGGTCCAATGTTTTTTGCTGCATCATGGCAGTAGGAGGCTTCTTAGAGTCAAGTCCCACTTCCTGTACAGTACGGTGAGAGGAACAAGTCCCACTTCCTGTACAGTACGGTGAGAGGAACAAGTCCCACTTCCTGTACAGTACGGTGAGAGGAACAATACAGTAGGTGACCTGGTGATGATGATGTAACATGTAGAAGGCTAAGATTCCAAAGTGAAAGGCTCTGTGAGAGCGCTATCTCTTGGCATCCTTGCTTAGTCATTGAGCTCAGACCATAAATAATAACCTTGTCATTCTGACCATGGGCCTTGCAATCCAAGCCCAACAACTGACGGAGAGATCTCAACCCACTGTAGAGGTAAAACTGTGCGACTTTGATGGAGTGTAAAACTGTGTCGAACATCACTGTCCGTTCCGGTCCGGTGTTGATTATTTTGGAGGTCTCGTCCTTTGTAGTTTCTTTATTGAGAGGATGTACACTAAGGGGCAGTTTCCCCGACACAGATTAAGCATAGTCCTAGATTAGAAAGCTATTTCAATGGAGATTCTCTATTGACCATGCTTTTTAGTCAAGGACTAGGTTTAATCTTTGTCAGGGAAACTGGCCCTAAAATTTATTTTTATTTATTTTTATTTCACCTTTATTTAACCAGGTAAGCCAGTTGAGAACAAGTTCTCATTTACAACTGCGACCTGGCCAAGATAAAGCAAAGCAGTGCGATAAAAACAACAACAGAGTTACATATGGGGTAAAAAAAACATAAGGTCATAAAATACAACAGAAAATATATATACAGTGTGTGCAAATGTAGCAAGTTATGGAGGTAAGGCAATAAATAGACTATAGTGCAAAATAATTACAATTAGTATTAACACTGGAATGCTAGATGTGCAAGAGATGATGTGCAAATAGAGATACTGGGGTGCAAAAGAGCAAAATAAATAACAATATAGGGATGAGGTAGTTGGGTGGGCTAATTTCAGATGGGCTGTGTACATGTGCAGTGATCGGTAAGGTGCTCTGACAACTGATGCTTAAAGTTAGTGAGGGAGATAAGAGTCTCCAGCTTCAGAGATTTTTGCAATTCGTTCCAGTCATTGGCAGCAGAGAACTGGAAGGAATGGCGGCCAAAGGAGGTGTTGGCTTTGGGAATGACCAGTGAGATATACCTGCTGGAGCGCAGACTACGGGTGGGTGCTGCTATGGTGACCAATGAGCTAAGATAAGGCGGGGATTTGCCTAGCAGTGATTTATAGATGGCCTGGAGCCAGTGGGTTTGACGACGAACATGTAGTGAGGACCAGCCAACAAGAGCGTACAGGTCACAGTGGTGGGTAGTGTATGGGGCTTTGGAGACAAAAAGTACAAGCAAATGCCCCTAGTTATTCTGTAAGAAACTGTATTTTGACCATGATTAAGGCTACAGTGTGTATTATGATGAAACGTACTGTACATGTTTGTATGGAAAGAACCAGGGCTACTGCAAAAAAAAAGACATGTTCAGGGGACAAAAGATTTTCATATTAGTTTTGTTTTTAAAACATGTTTCATAAGTAGGCCTACTGTCATTTTTCTATGATCTTGTATTTATTTATTGTCAAAGTGGGTGATTTGTGGTTTCTTTTTAGAATCGTAAGGTGGAAAACTAATTTGAATGTTTTTGTTTTGTAAAGATTTTCCAGTATTGTTTTTATAATGACAGCATTGCTTTCAGTTGTTGTTTTTTCATGTGTAGGCACAGCTTTTTGTTTCTTCTGCCTTCATTTCTTACCTTTTTTAACATTTACATTTATATTTGAGTCATTTAGCGGACGCTCTTATCCAAAACGACTTAAAAAACATGATTTTGAATTGTACAGTATGTCAAACTGCGTTCATTTTGAATTTGTGGGGAAACGTTTGTGTTGTCTTCCTTCTCATTGCACTGTAAATGTAACCTTGACCTATCAGGGTTGGCGTGAATTTGAAATGAAGGTAGTCAATTCAGGAAGTGATTTAAATATAACATTTTAAAAAATGGAAACACTTTTGAAATAAATAGCTTTCTACTTTTCAGTATATTGAGAAGTCATTGAAAAGAGATGTCATTTTTTCCGAGTTATTGAAATTGATTTTCAGTTTACTTCCTGAATTGACTGTCTTCAATTCTAACTGACCCCAA